GTCCAAGCAACTCAAAGTCTCAATATCCCTGCTTCCAAGAAGCATTCTGGTTGTATTTATTCTAAGACTGATTTGTTTGTTCTTCTGGCAGTCCATGGTATATTCAACATTGTTCACCAACACCACAATTCAAATGCATCAATTCTTCTTCTGTCTTCTTTTTTCATTGTCCAGCTTTCACATGCATATGAGGAACTGAAAAGACCATGGCTTGGATCAGGAGCTCCTTAGTCATCAAAGTGACATCTTTGCTTTTTAGAACTTTAAAGAAGTCTTTTACAACATATGTAGCTCCATGAGAGGTTTGATGCAGGGCTTGAACAGCATGACCAGGACTATTTTGTTCCCTCTGTATTTATCAGCTCTGCTTGTGGTTCCATTTTCAAGTAGACTTGTCCTTAGTAGAATCAGGATGGCAGCTGGAGGCTCTGAGATACAAAGTTTAAATACACAGCGGGTTAAAAGTCATTTTCCCAGCAGTCTCAGTGAAAATTTCATTTTATCTCATGGGCTTGGATTCAGTCACATGCCCATCTCTGAACCAATTACTGTACCCAGTGTGATAGGACACACTGGAGCTGAAGCATTGGGTCATTTTTAAACAACCCACGTAGCTGAGAATGGTGGGGACAATAAATTTCCCAAAGAATAATTAGGATGTTTTCAGCAGGAAAAGGAAGAGGGAATTAATGCTAGGGAATCAACCACTAAATGTCCACCATATTGGGATGTCATACCCTGACTCTGAGTGAGGACTGCACCTGTTCAGGGGGAAAACGAGTATAGCCATTAAAAAACAAACAAATAAACAAACAAAAAAACCCAAACCCATTGCCATCGAGTCGATTCTGACTCATAGTCACCCCATGGGACAGAATAGAACTGTCCCATAGGGTTTCCAAGGCAGTAATCTTCACAGAAGTAGATTGCCACACGTTTCTTCCATGGAACAGCTGGTGGGTTTGAACAACCAACCTTTCCATTAGTAGCCAAGTGCTTAACCACTGTGCCACCAGGGCTCCTTAGTATAGCCATAGGGTCCATTAAGAGGTGAAGCTAGTGCTATGCATAGCAGATCCAAGAGAGACTGTAGAGTGGGCTGTCACTGTCATTATTACTATTAAACAGTCAAATCCACCTGCCTGGTACAATGATTCATTTTGGTATCTAATCATCACAGTGGTAGCTGTGACAGTGCAATTTCCTGATCTCTTTTCAGATGGCTCTTGTGCTTCTTTTGTTGGATTCTCCTCCTGTTTTGTGGATTAGAACAATCCCTAAAGTACTATACGCAGCCCTCTCTTCTCTCTCTTCAAGCTTCTTTTCTTGATCTCAGCCATTCTCAAGGTTTCAGTTACCACCACCCTGAGTGTAACTTTCAAAACTTCTCCTGGCCCATCCTATAAATCATGGAACTTTAGTTGTAAATAAATCCAGTTCTTATTTGCAGACACTGTGGTCTTAGAGTACTGGACTTGTTCTTGCTTAAAACCAAAAAAGACTAGCTTAGAGCTTTGTTAAAAATGAGAAGGGAGAAGGAAGTTCTAAGCCATCCTCTGAATAAAGATGTATTATTTGGTAAATGCCTCTTCCACTAAACTCTAAGTTCCTTGAGGCCAGAGACTATTCACTTGTCAAAAACAAACTTAAGCATTTAATAAGTTCATATCAAAATGTGTACAACTTTCAAAACAATGCAACACTCTTCTATACCGTTTCTGAGACTTAATCCCCTCGTTTCTGTTAGAACAGTCACAATGAAGGAATGATGAGATGCTTACTACAGTAGTTCACCCCAGTTTTGAACAGTATAGTATTAAGAATTATATGGGGAGGTGTTTTTGTGTGTGTGTGGTTACCCTTCCTATGCTTGGTGAAGCCACTATTGTGTGAGGAGGCAAAATTCCATTTCTCATGATGTAAGCTGAAAATGCAGATATTTGCTTTTTATTGACCCTAGTAGTTAGGGCAGGGAATATGGACCTCATCCGGGTATGTGGATCTGCATCTGGAACTGTGAATAGGGAGAAAGTGATCCAAAGAAGCAGGGATCATCAAGAATGCATTTCATTTGTGACATCTAGTGTCCAGTGGAAACAGCAGTAGCACACTATCCAGACAGCTCTTAAAGAATGACCTTAACTATTGTCATGGTTTGAATTATGTCTCCCCAAAAATGTGTGTATCAATTTGGCTAGGCCTTGATTCCTGGTACTGTGTGATTTTCCTGTATGTTGTAAACCTGCCTCTACAATATTAATGAGGGAGGATGGGTGGCAGTTGTGTTAGTAAGGCAGGACCTGATCTACAAGACTGGATTGTGTCCTGAGGCAATCTCTTGAGATATAAAAGACAGAAGTGAGCAGTGAGACAGGGGGACCTCATACCATCAGGAAAGCAGTGCCGGGAGCAGAGCACGCCGAGAAGCTCCTAGTGCAGGGGAACACTGATGAGAAGGCCGACAGAGAGAAAAAGACTTCCCCTGGAGCTGACGCCCTGGATTTGGACTTTTAGCCTACTTTGACTGTGAGGAAATAAATTTCTCTTCGTTAAAACCATCCACTTGTGGTATTTCTGTTATGGCGGCACTAGATGACTAAGACAATTATAAATGGGTAGCTTCTGTGACTTTGCTAATGGTGTCCGCTCTCGTTGAATGAACTCCTTAACACTCCATCCTTCAAGGCTCTGCTCAAGTGCCACCTGCACTGTGAAACTTTAAAGGAACTCCCAAAGTAGATCTCTTCCTTTGCACAACTCCTTTAGTGTAAGGTGTAAATCACTCACATGGCATTTGTGTACAGCTAGCTCTATCTATCTATCTTTAATCTCCTACTATATTGTTAGCTTCTGCCAGACAGGAGTAGAATCCTTCTACTGGAAGGAATTCAGCATTGTGAATTCTTTCCACTATGCCTAGCACATTGTGAATACTTAAAGTTTAAAATATATTTTTAAAACATTAGAATTGGAAGAAACGTTACTGATAATCTAGGTCTACCTTCTTATGTAACAGAGGAGAAAAATGAAGTTCAGTAAATTGTAGATTACCTAATTTCAGCCAGTCATGATTAGGCTAGGCTAGAACAGTGTCTTCCTGACTCCTGAGTTAAATTATGGGGAAAATGAAATTTGTTTCATTTATCCAAGAACATGGGAGTGATTATGAAGAAGACTATCTGGTTCATTCAGGCTCCAAATGCATCTGCTAGGCTATATTGTGAACAACTTGAAGGCATCATTATTGCCAGTCTTAAAACCCAGATCAACACTTTATAGCTTGGTCTAGCTCAGTTAGAAATAGAAGCAAAGGAAACAAAAGAAAAAAAGCAAGGAGAGTGTGTTGCTCCATGAGCCAAATGAAGACTCAACGAGAGCCATCAGCTCTGTCAAATGTCAGGAGAGGTGAGGACTAAGAATTCACTACTGGGTTTTGTAAGATAAAATTCCCCGGTGACCTTGACAAGAACCATTTCACTGGACTAGTGGCGACCAAAACCTGGTTGCAGTGAGAAAAAAAAAGGTAGATTATAAGGTAGGAAAATGGAAAGACTGAGTCAAAACTTTTTTTTTCAGGAATTTTGTTACAAAGAGAAGTAAATAAATGGGGTGGTAGCTGATTGGGGTCAAGGGAGGTTATTCTTTTTTGAGATGGAAACCATGACGGCGTGATTTATTTGCTGATAGGGAAGATCCATTAGAAAAGAAAAAAGTGATGACAAAGACTAGAGGAGGTAAAGCCAACACAAGTACACAGGCATAAAACGACGGGCTCAAAAACACAAAAGGATCCGTATAACAGTTCCTAGGACTCAGAAGTGCTCATTAAATGTTAGCTACTATTATTTCTGGTTACTTAAATTTTTGAGGTTATCAGCTTTACAAAACATACATTCTTTATTATTCAAACACACACTGCGTTCGTTCAAATTCAAGTTCTGCCACTTGGATAAGATACTTTTCTTCGCTGGGCTTTGTTTTCCTCTGTAGAAAAAGAAGAGTAATAATACCTACCTCCTCAGACTGTTTGCGGGCTTAAATGAGATAATCCATACAAAATTTGGCACTACGCTGGCATATGGTGAAGCCTCAAATGTAATTAGATTAATAACTGTATACATTCTATCATAGAATGCCTTTAGACACTGGCAAGCTGATTTGGATTCCTGGAACTACGTGATAGAGCCCTCAAAGAGGACACTGGCCAATCCGCTCGTAGCGTGTACAAGCGGCCAGCACTACCCGCGAAGAGCCCATGGCGATTCTCCACAATCAAACCCTGGCGGACCACAGCTTAGTCTTGTAACGACACTGTCCCTCTACAAGACAATATCGTCAAACACACACGCCAACTAAAAGCAGACATTCAGAAACGATCGATGTAATCAACCCTGAGCAATC